CTCCCCCTCTCTTCTTCTCCCTTGCTCCCTTTGCTGCTTGGCCCGTTCGTCTGCCGGTCCCTTCTCGGCCTTTCCCCGCTGCCCTGTGGGCCGTTCTTTCCCCTGGCCCTCTCGCCCTCTTCCCCGTCCCTCCGGCGTTTGTTCTCTCCCCGGCTGCTCCCCCGTCCGTCCCCCCGCCTCCCCCGGCCTGGCCCTCGGCTGCTCGCCCGCGGCCTCCTCTTGCCCCTCTTGCCCCGGCTCTTCTCTTCCCCGCCGTTGCTGCTCCCCTCTTTCCGCCGCTCCGCCCGTGTGCTCCCTGCCCCCGCCCTCTGGGCCCCTCTCCTCCCGCTTGGCGCCGGCGCTGCCCCCGCCCCGCCCTCCGCTCCCCCTCGCCCTGCCGCCGTTTGCCGCTTTCCCCTGCTCTCCCCTGCCCGTGTTGCCGCCCTGGCCGCTCGCCTGCTCCCCGTTCTTGGCGCGCTTCGTGCTCTTGGCCCCCTCTTCGCCCCCCCGCCCTTCCTCTCCCCCTCCTCCGCGGCTTCCCCTCTGCCTGGGCTCTGCCGGTTCCGGCTCTGCGCGCTCCCCGCGCTCTCCGCCTGTTGTCCCCCGCCCCCTTCTTTCGTGCTCTCCCCGCCTCTGCGTTCGCCCTGCCGGCCCCGCTGCTGCTGTTCCTGCCGCTCGCCCTTCTGCTCTCCTGGCCGCCCCCCGTCCCCCTCCCGGTCCGTCGCCCCTCCTGTTGCTTTTCTGCCTGCCGCCCCGTTTGCTCTTTTTGTCCCCGCTTTCGCCCGGTTTCTGCGCCCCGGCGCCCCCCCCTTCTGCTCGTGGCCCCTTCGTCTCTCGCCTCCCCCGCCGCCCCCGTCGCCGCCCCCCGCTTTGTGCTCCCCTTGCCGCCCCCCGGCCCTTTTCCCCTCCCTTGTCCCTCTCCGCTCGTTCGCCCGTCTCCCGGCCCCCTGTTGCCTCTCCGCCGCCCCCTCCGCCCGCCCCGGTTCCCGCGCGCCCCCGCCCGCTCTCGTTCGCCCGCCCCCCCGCCCCTGCTGCTTCGGCGGCTTCCTCCTCCCGCGCTGCCCGTTCCTGTTCGGCTGCTGCTCCGGCGCTCGTCTGCCCGTCCCTTGCGTTGCGTCCCCGTGCCGCTTGTCTTCTGGCTCTTGCCGCCGCGGCCGCCGCGGTCCCCTCTCCTTCTTTCCCTTCTGTTCCTTCTTCTTTTTCTCGTGCCTCTCTTGCCCGTCTCCTGCGCGCCTGTCCCGCGCTTCTGCTCCCTCCTCCTCCCCTCCCGGCGCGCCCTCCTCTTCTCCTTCTTGCCCCGCCGCCCTGCCTCCCCCTTGCCCGCTGCTTTCCTTGCCGTGCGTCCCTTGCCGCCTGCCCCTCTTCCTCTTCCCGCCGCGTGTCCCGCCCGCGCGGTTCGCGCCCTCCCTTCGGGCCCCCTTGCTCCGTTCCCTCCTTCGTCCCCCTCCTGGCTCCCCTGGTGCGCCTGCCCCCGCCCTCCGGCGCTCGCCCCGGCCTCGGTTCTGCCTCCCCCTGTTCTCCCCCCCCTCCCCCTCTGCCTCCTTCTCCTCCTCCTTTCCCTCCTCCCGTTCCCGTGGTCCCCTTTGTTCCCGTCCGCCTCGCCCGCTGCGCCCCGGCCTTGGCTCTCCCTCCCCGCCCCGTTGCCTGTTGCCCGGCCGCCCCCCTCTCTCCTCGGCCCCGCCCCCCCCTTCTTCCCGCCCCGCTCTGCCCCCGCGTCCCGTGCCCCCCGCTTTCCTCGCCCGCGGGCCGCTTTTCTCGCCCTCGCGTTGGGCGCTTTTCTCCCCCTCCCCCGGCTTGGTTGTGTCCTCGCTGTCCTGCTTTTTCTCGCCCCCCGCCCCCTCCTCTTCCCCGGTGCCCCCCTCTCCCCCTGTTTTTCCCCCTCCGGCGCCCCCCCTGTTTTCCCCGTGCGTTCTGCTTCTCGTGTCTCCCCTGGTTCCCCCTCGCCTCCTCTTCCTTCCCTCCGCTCTCGGTGGGTTTGGTTCCCCCCCTCCCTCCCCGTCCCGGCCCCCCGCCCGTCTGGGTCCCTCCCGTTCCTTCCTCTTTTTTGCCGGCTGTTTGGTCCCTCGCTCGTGGTTGCTCCCGCCCCCTGCCTCGCCCTCCCTCCTCTCTCGTGCCTTTCCCCGCCCTCGCTGGCCCCCCCGTTCTCTTCGGCGGCCCTCCCCCTTCTGGCCTTCCCCCCGGCGTTGGCCCGCTCCCGCCCCCTGGTTTGCCGCTTGCCGCTGTTTCTTTCGTTGCCGGCTTGCCCTTTCCTTTGTTGCGCCCTCGTCCCTTTTGTGCTCCCGGCTCTCTTGTCGCCTTTTCTCCCGCTCCTTGCCTCCTCCCCCTGCGCTCCCCCTGCGCTTGTTCTCTCTGGCCCCCGGCGCCCGCCTCTGTCTGTTGTTGCTTGGCGTCCCCGCCCCGCTTCCGTGTGCTTCCTGGCCCGCCCTTCGCCTGCCGCTCCTTGGGCCTGGCCCGCCCGCTCCCCCCTTCCCCTTCCCGCCTCTCCTCCCTTGCCCCGCCGCCTCTCGTTGCCGGCTTGCCCGCTCTTCTCTTCCCGCCGGCCCCCGTGTGTGCTGCCTGCCCCGCGGCCCGCCCCTCCCCTCCTCCTTCCCCTCCCCGCCCCCGCGTCCCCGTCCCGCCCGCTCCGCTTCCTCCCTCTGGCCTTCTTTGGCCCGGTTGCTCCCCTCCGTGTCCGTGGTCCGCCCTCTCCTCTCGTTGTTGTTGCTGCTTTTTCCCGGTCCCCTTGGCCCGTGTTTCTCCCGCCGCCCCCTGCCGTTGCGCCCGTTCTCCCGCCGCTGTTGCCGCCCCTCCCCCCTGCGCCCGCCTTGCCCCTCTCCCCCTCCGCCCGGCTCGCGGCCCCGCGTTCGTGCCTGGCGTTCTCCCCGCTTTTTGCCCTTCCCCTGGCCTTTCTCCTCCCTTCTCTGCCGCCCGCCCCCCGCCCCCCCCGGTGTTGCCGCCCGCCGCCCCGGCCGCTCCCGCCGCCGCCCGCGTGCTGCTTCGTGCTGCCGGTCTCCCGCCCCGCTCTTGGGCGGCCGCTCTCCCCCCTGCTTGCTCCCGCCCCCTCGCCGCCTGCTCCCTCCGCCGTCCCCGCCGCCGCCCTCTGCGCTCTCTCCCGGGCGCCCCCCCCTCTTGGTTCTTTTCCTCTTTTTGGCTGCCCCTGTTTTCTTCCTCTTCCTGCTCCCTTGCCTCTCCCCGCTTTTGCTGCGCGTGCCGCTGCCGGCCTTTTTCTCGGCTCTTCCGCTCCCCGCCCGGCGTTCCGCGTTTTGCCTCCCCGCTCCCTGGTGGTTGCCGCCTCCCTCCCCGTGGTCTTTGCTGCCCCTCCCCGCTCCCCCTGCTGCCCTGGCCGCCGCCCTTCGCCCCCCTGGTCCCCCGTGTCCTCTTGCTTTTTGTGCTCCTCCTGCTCCGTGTGCCGCTGCTGTTTTGCCGGGCCTGGCTGCGTTGGCCCTTCCTTCTCTCGCCCCTCCCCTCCCTCCTCCCGCCGCCGTTGGCCCTTCTTTTCCCTCCTCCTTTTGGGCGGTGCTGCCTCCCGTGGGCCTGCGGCTGCCGTCCGCGTTGGTGCTCCCCTTCGTGCTCCCGTTGCCTGGTGCCGTTGGTCCTCCCTTTCCCGCCGCCTTCCTTGCTGGCCCTTCGCCCCCCCCTGCCCGTTCCCCCCCCTGGCTCCCCCCCGTCCCCTGCCCCCCTTTGCCCCCGCTTTCCGCTGGCTCCCCCTCCCCCTCCCGCCTTCCTTCTTGGGCCTCTTCCTGCCGGCGTGCCCCCCGCTCCTCTCCCCTGGCCGCCTTGTTCCCGTGTTCTCTCTCTCCGCTTGCCCCCCCGCCGTGGCCGCCGCTCTCCTGCTCCGGCTTGGCTCCCTGCTCTGCCCGCCGCGCTCGCTCCCTTCCCCGCCCTGCTGTTTGGGCCCTTGTTCCCCGCCCGGCGCCCCCCCCTGTTGTCGGCCCCCCCTGGGTCTTCCGGCCCCCCGCCCCCGCCGCCGGCGTGCTTGTTCGGCCTCCCGCCCGGCTCGTTGCCCCCGGCTCCTCTCCCGCCGCCGGCCTCGCTTTTGCTGCCCCTTTGCCCCGGTGCCCGCCTTGCCGCCCTCCGCCTTTTCCTCGCCTCCGCCGCCCCCCCCGCTTTCCCTGTTTCTCCCCTGGCCGTGCCCGCGCCTTCTTGCCTGGTCTCCTCGCCGCCGCCGTTTCTGTCGCCCCCCCCCCGGTTTTGCGGTCCCCGGCGCCGGTGCTCCCGTCTCCCCCTTCCCCGGCCTTGTCTGGGTTGCCCCCGCCCCTCGCGCTTGGTCTGCTCCTTTGTCCCTGTTCTTGCTCCGCTGTGGCTTCCCCCCCGGCCTTGTTGCCCCCCTCTCTTTCGCCTTCCCGCTGGTGCTCCTCTTTTCTTCGTGCCCCTCTCTGTTGCTGCTCTTCTTTTTGGCCGCCCTCCCCCTTCTTTGTGTGCGCCCTTTTCGCCGCTTCTGCCGCCTCCCTTCGCCCTGCGCCTGCTGGGTGCCTTGCCTTCCTTCTTGGGCTTCCCCGTCCCCCCCTGCCCGCCGGCGTCTTCCTCCCTCCCGCCCCGTCCCCCGCGCCTTGCTCCCGCCGTTTGGCCTTGCTGGCCCCTCCTCGCTCCCCTTCCCCTGCGCCCCTCCCTCCGGCTCGCCCCCGCTGCCGCTGGCCCGGCTGTCGCTCCCCCCCCTCTCGCGGCCTGCTTGGTTCTCTTCTCTCTCTTCCTGCCCGCCGGCCGGCCCTTTCTTCTGCTGTGGGCGTGTGTGCCGCTTCCCCGCCCCTCCTCCGCCCGCCCCCTCCCCGCCCCCCGCCGCTCCTCCGCTCTCTGCCCGGCCCCCTCCCTGTTGGCTTGTGGTCTCCCCCCGGTCCCGCTTTTCCTCTCCCGGGTTTTTCCGCTGCGGCTTTTGCCGGTTGCCCCTCGCCCGCCCCGCCCTTCCGGGCCCTGCCCGTTCTTGGGGGCCGGCTTGTTTCTTGGTTCCGCCCCCGCCCCCTTCCCTCGCCCCTCGTCCCGCCGCGGCCGCCTCTCTTGCTGCCGGCCGTTGTTGTGCGCCCCTTTTGTGGCTGCCGCCCCCTTGCCGGCTTCCGGCGTTCCTTGTGCTGCCGTTCGTCTTTCTTGTGCTCCTCCTCGTGCCCTCGCTCTCCCTCCCCCTCCGGTGCTTCCCTCCCGCCCCCCCTCTCGCCCTTCGCCCTCCTTTCCTCCGGGCTCCCGTTGCCCCGCCCCTCTGCCGCTCGCCTCTCTCCCTCCGGCCCCCCGTTGCTGCTCTTCTCCCGCCGCCTTTCTGCGCCCCGCGCTTTTCTCCCTTCCGGCCCGCGTTGGGCCTGCTCGCCCTGCGCTCCGTCTCCCTGGCCTTCCTCTCTCTCTTTCCCTTGCTCCTTGTGCTCCCCTCCCTTGTTTTCCGTGCCTCCCTTGTTTTCTGTGTTTCTCTGCCTCTGTTTCTTCGCCCTTTTTCTGTGCTCCCCTTGCCCTCTGTGTTCGGCCTTTCTTTGTGTCTTTGCCTGTGTTCTTTCCCGTGCGCTCCTCTGCCCTGCCCCTTCCTTTGCTCCCTGTGCCTTCGTGCTTTCTTTGCTCCTTTGTTTCCCTTGCCTGTTTTCCTGTGTTCCTCGTTTCTGCCGTCTGTGTTCCTGTTTCTGTCCTTCCCTCCTTTGTTTGCCTGCCCCCTTTGCTCTCCCCTGCTTTCCCGTGTTTCTTGCTCTTCTCTCTGTGCTCCTGTGCTTTCTCTGTGTTTTTCTGTGTTTTCTCTCTTTGTTCTCTGCCTCTGTTTTCGCCTCTGCGTCCGTTCCTCTTTTTGTTCGTTTCTCCCTCTTTTCGGCCTCTGCTTTGCTGTCCTTTCTCTCCGCTGTTTCTCCTTCTCCTTTGGCCTCTGTGTGTTCCTTTGTTCTTTCCCCCTTGTTTGTTTTGCTTGGCCTTGCCGTGTCTGTGTTTCCTCTCTTTGGTCTGTGTGCTTCTTCTTTGTGGCGTCCTTTTTGCTCCTCCCGCGCTGTTTGCGTGTGCTTCTTCTCTGTGGTCCCCGCTTTTGCGCCGGCCCTCCGGCGCTCCCGGCGGCCCTCCGCGTTTCCTTGGGTCTCCCCCCTCCCCCCCCTCCCCTCCTCCCTTTCTCCCCCTCCCCCCCCCCTCCCCATCCTCCTCTCCTCGCTCCCCTCATTTCCCCCCTTCTCTTCTCTCGTCTCTCCCCTTGGCCCCCCCCTCAACCTTCTCCTCCCCGCTTCCTCCTCTCCCTCGTCTCCCCCGCGCCTTCCCCCCCTCCCTCCCACTCTCCCTCTTCACCCCGTGTGCCCTCCCTCTCTTCTCCTGCGCCCGCGCCTCTCGCCCCTGACGAACGCCTTGCAGCTCTCCCTGCCCTCCCGTACCTCTCCCCGCCCGGCCCGCCGCCTCCCTCTCCCTCCGGCCTGCCCCGCTTCCCGTCTCCTGCCGCCTCTCTTTCTTGGGCGCCCCGCCGCGACCTCCTGTTTGATGGCCGACTTTTGTTGTTTGGACTTTTCCCTCTGGGCCGTGCCCGCTAGGTGTCCCGCGCGTCTCCGGCCCCCGAGCTCACGGCCGCCCCGTCCGCGCCTTGGGCCGCAGTTTCTCCCACTCACCCCGCCGGGCCCCCGCCCAGCCGGACCTCCCCGGCCCGGACGCCCACCCCTCTGGTTTTCCTTTCTCTTGCCGCCCACGGCGCCCGCCCCGGCGTCGCCCCCCTTCGCCGTTTTCCGCCTCACCTCGGCGTGCCCTGGCTTTCACTTCTGCCGCTGGTGCTCCGCCCCGTATGTGCCGCCCCCGACCAGCATGGCCGGTCTGCGCCTCCTTCCTGACCCTTCTCCCCCGTTGTTCCCCCTCTAATGTCTGCTAGCGCTTTGCCTCTGCGGCCCTTCCGCTCTCTCCCTCTTTACCCCTGCCTTTTGGCCCCGGTTCTCCCCCCCTCCTCCATGCTTTGCGGTTTTGCTGTGCTTCTCCACTCCTCCTCCCCCGCGCCTCTCCCGACCGTTTCCGCCCCCCTCTGCCCGTTCATTGCCCCTCTGGCCCCGGTAGCCATCCCTGCTCCTCCCTGTCCTCCTCCGGCCGCTGGCCCCTCCGCTCCCCGTTCCTGCCGTCTCTCTCGTCGGCCTTCACTAGGTTTTTTCACCTCCCCCCTCACTCCTCTTCACGTTCTCCCGGGTCGCTGTTCGCGCCAGGCCCCGTGCGTCCCGTGCTGCCTCTGGACGCCGGCTCTGTCGCTTCCCCCTCGGGGGGTATCGCCTCCCCTGCTGGCACTGCGCCTGGTTTCGTCTGCCTCCTCACCGCCGTGTTCTGTTCCCGGTCTCCTCTCTCTCTTCTCTCCCTTGCTCCTCACGACGGCGCACTCCCTCCACCTTTTCCTGGCTGTTTTTGCTCCTCCGGTTCATTCTCTTTGTCGCTTCTACTCCATGCCTCCTCCCCCCTGCCCCCTTCCTCCGGTCCTCGTCCGCTCCCCCGTTTCCTACGCGCCCGCTCCCCCCTCCTCTACTGCTCCGCCCCCCCACCGGGGGTGGGGGGGGCCAGCTGCCTGTCCGAACATTCCCCACTCTCATATCTCTCTCTCTCTCCTTCTCTCATCTCTCTCTCTCTACTCTCTCATCACTCTCTCTCTCATCTCTCTCCTCTCTCTCTCTCTCTCTCTCATATCTACTTCTCATATCTCTCTCTCTTCTGGCTCCCCCGGGATCCCCGCCGCCGCACGCATTCCGGGTCTGTTTGGCCCGCCGGCCCCTGCCTTCTGGCAACCTGCGTCCTTTTCGCCGACCAGTCCTTTTCCTTTCATGTTTTGTTTGGCTGCCCCCTGGCCCACACTGTCCTTTTGGTGTTTGGTTCCTGGTTCCCGCCCATCTGGGACCCCTGTCTTTGGTGTTTGGTTCCTTTTGCCCGCGCACTGCCCGCGACTGCCCCCACCCCTTATTTTTCTTCCTCCTTTTCCTCTTCTCCGTACCCCCTCCTCTACTTGTTTTCTTTTTGTGTGGTTGGGTTCTGCCTGCTCCAGCACTTTTGTCTTCCACCTTATCTGCCCCTCCACCTTTTGCTTAGTCTTTCCTTCTCCTGTCTACACATCTCTCTCTTTGGTCGTCCTCCCCTCTTGATCCCCGGCTTCTGCCCCTTTGCGCTCCCCTTTGATTCGACCACTCCTCCCCGGCACTCCGTCTCACGTGTTTGCCCCTTCCCTCCCCCACACGTAGTTCGGCGGCTCCCACTCTCACCACGTACTGCCGACTCGCCACCCCGCCCTATCTCCTTTCCTCCGTACCAGCCACTTACCTTTCTGCCCTCCCTTTTCTCTTTCACCACCTTCCTTCTCGCATTGGGCAACATTCGCGCCTGACCCGCTTCCTTTGTCACTCCGAGGTCGTCCCCATACCTTACCCTCGGTCTCTCACAATGCCCCCCATCCCCTCTGCCCCTACCCTCCGCCCCACCTAGACTTTTCCTCCATCCCCGGTCTTCCGCTTTCACTTGCCGTGGCCATGCACTCCCGCGCTGTTCCGCACTTGTCCTCCCCCTTCCCGTCACCGTGTCTTTCGCTTACCGCCCCGGCTCTTTGCGGCCGACGCCAGTTCGCTTGCCTGTTTTTCACCTTCCTCACTTTCTTCGCCTCCCTGTTCTCCGGCCGGGTTTCCTCACAATACTGTTCTCCCGGCCCATACTCTCCTCACGCGGCCCCTCTACATACTTCCCCACTTTGCCCCGCCTGTGGGCACACCCGTCCTCCCGGCCGCCCTCTCTAGCGGCCCGCCACCACTGGGCGCATCTCCTCCTCGCCCTCCTTCTTCCTATAGAGTATGCCCCCCTGTTTTCCTCCTTGGGGCGTTGCCTCTGCACACCCCCACCTGCGCTTCTTTTCTACATTACAACCCCTCTTCTTTCTCGCACTCGCCCTTCGTGCTTCCATCCCATCTTCCCGTTGCTACCCTCCCTACTCCGGGGCTTCCATCCCATGTGCCCACTTTTCCGTTGTCCCTCCCTCGCCCGCCCCCTCTGTTCTTTCCCTTCCGACCTCCTCCTCTCACGTGTTTCTTCCCTGTTGTTCCCGGTGGCTTTCTCCCACTGTTTGTGGTTCTGCCCTTCCCTTGTCGTCTCTGGTCGTTGCCACCCCTGCTATGCACTGACGCGGGCTTTCCCACTCTTCGTTGGCATTACTTACGGCTTCCTCGCCTCTTCCAGTGTCTCCTCTTTTTCCCACCTCCGACCAAAACTCCCTTGGCTTTTGTCCCCCGCCCTTGTTTCGACCGTTGGCCTTCCCTTTGCCCTTCTTCCTGTTGCTCCATCCTCCCATCCCAACACTACCCCACCCCTGTTCCCACTCCCCGACCCGCCTCCTCCCGTCCCACCTCCATCATCTCCCCTCCCAGTCTCCTCAAGTCGCCAGCCCCTCCGCCATGTTCACCCCCTCATACATCTTCTATCCCCCAGCCTCCTCACCTCCATCCCCATCAGCCGACATCAGACCACTACACTTCCTACTACCTCCAAGTCCTTCCCTCCTCGTTGTTTCTGCCCATCTCCTCCCTTTTTGTCTTACACCATTGGGCGCTCGCTTCTTGTCTTTCTTCTGTTGTGGGGTCACTGCGTTCCGGGTACCCCGTTCTCGTCCTCCACCCTCCACCTGTTGTTTGCTTCCCCCTCCTCGGCCTCACCAGCCCTCCCTAATAGGTTATGGCCTTCTCCACCACGCTTCAATCCCTCTCTCATTTGTGTCTGGTCACTCCCCCACCGGTTGCCGCCTCTTCCCCCACGGCCCGCGTTTCTTCCCCCTTCCCCACACCCCTGTCTCTCCCTACGATGTACCGTCCGCGCGCATGCCGCCGCTTGCCCCGTTTCTTATCTTCTTCTCGGGACGCTGCCGCCCTCACCTCATTTCCCATGGTATCTCCCCCCGGTCTGGCGTCCGTCTTCCCTTCCCTCTGCACTCTCCCGCCTACACCCCGATCCTCTTTCCGCTCCCACGTTTCCCTACTTTGCTTACTTCACTGCCCTACACCGCGCCACCCCAATGTAACACACCTTTGCTTCTCTACTTTTACATTTTCTCCCTTCTGGCATTTTCCCATTTACTTTGGCCGTGTGCGTGCCTCCATTCACGCCTCGCGACTAGCCTGATACACAACATACACACATATAACAACACACCCGTCAAAACAAAAAACTACGACCTCCCATCCGGCGCCCTCCCCGTGCCGCCGCCCACTCCCATGTTTGTGTTGATTCCCCCCTTCCGTCCGCGCCCGCCGCCCCCCCTCCCTTGTCACTTTTCATCGTGTTTGGTGCACGGCTTATATGTGGCTTGTTGGACAGGCGCTGCGCTGGTCGGTCTTTGTTGCTAGTTGACGAACAGGCGGTGCAAGGGACCGCCCCCGTGACAGGGCGCACGACCGCGTAGTCTTCGGATGTTGACTTGCCACCGCTGGCCCACTGACCTTCAGCCACACCACCCAAGGGGCCGTCACTTTTCCTGCTTTCCGCCCTTCTTTTCCCAGTGTGCACTCGACAACGTCCTTTTTCCTTTGCCTTTTTTCATTTCCGCCTTCCCCCACCCCACCACACCTTGGCACCCTGAACTTCCCGAACGTACATTTTCCGGGTTTTCCCCGCCCCTCCAGCGGAGACCGTGTCCGCCCTTTACCGCCGACACGCACATACTAGCCACGTGGCGAGTTGCCGTTGGACGCTTGGCTCCTTGCGACCCAGGGCGGCCTTCTCTCGTGTCTTGCCACGTGCCCCTCCCGCTGTCTACCCATTGCCCCAACAACCTGGCCCCCTGTCTCCTCATCGCCCTCTGAGGCTCTCTTTGCCGCCCCTCCCGAGACCCCGCGGTCTTCGCCCCGCCATTGGTGATCTCAACATCCGACGCCGCCTGGCCCCTGCCGACAGACGGCTGGGCACCTCCTTGCCCGACACTTATTCTCTCAGCCCACGATACTTCCGCCTCGCCAGTCAATTCGGGACTTCCCCTCCCACCTTGTGCAGCTGGCCTGCAGCAGCAGCCTGGCCTCTTTTCATCCTTCTTTGGCCCCGGTTGCCAGCACTCGCCGTGCTGTTGTCTGTCATTGGCGCAGCCCCGTTGATTCTGTCCTCTCTCTCTGCCCTCTCCTATTCTCGTCCGCTCACCCTCCCGACTCATGCTATCCGACATCTTGTTCTCAACTGATTTTATTCTCTCTAACTCTGCAACATTACTGGAGCAATCAAAATTCTTTGAAGACTCAGATTGAAACATCAGACAAGAGATCTTGACAAGGAGAAGTGACGAAAGGCTTACTTGATATGTCATTCAATAAGAAATGTTTACACACATCAAAATTAAGTGAGAGACAGGACACATGAAGATGAAACTGCAATGAACCTAAGTATATACAGCGAAACCTAGAAGTGTGAGATACTGTCAACGTATTTGGCGATCTACACATCAAGGCGATTCAAGCACAAGAAAGCCAGAATCAAGACAAAACTTGGAAGTTGAACATCGCAGTTACAGCCAAACCAGCTCGGACAACAGTACCAAACCGGTTTCCCATTGAACACATCTCCCACTAGTGGATGAATACTCAGTAGATGAGTTTGAGCAATAACTCATAGAAACTCAATTTGTACTAAATAATTCATATTTTTCCTTTTATACTCTTATTCACGTCACCCGGCACGTTCTGCTTTATACATCA